ACCCTACACAGTAGGTTAATGGACTGACACCTATCAGAAAACAACTACTCCCCTGGCTAATAACACGAAGGGCGTTGGATTATATCCGACAGGTGTCAGTGCAGGATTCTTCACTGAAGTTATTCCTGCATATGCTGCTGGCGATACAACTGCCCCTATCGATTTTCAATTATTGGAACACACTTGTGGACCGGTTTCGGTCTGTTTGGCCACTCGTCAGTGCAAGGTAGTGTCTATCGTCAACATAAAGTCTATGATTTCCGACAATTGAAAATCGAATTTCCTCAGAGTATCTTTCCTTGAACTAGGCTAAAGCGAACGACAAACAAGAAGTTTGTCATAACCCTATTTGCCTGTGAACGAGGTAACCAACCGCATATCCGAAATTTGTTCGATTCCTCCTATAAGGAAGAAAACTTCACAAATTGAGTGGGCATACTTGGAGACTGGCTGTAAATTGATAACATTTTCACTCATGAAAATTGAAAGTTTTGTATTTGAAAAAAATTTCATTGTGTTTCTGTAAAATTGTATTGGATTTCATTCAATTTCTTTAGATATTCGTATCTGAAGTTACTTCATTCAAACTAATGACTGTTCATCGTGAAAAATCTCCAAGGGAGGTCTAGACAATTGTTTTTCACACAATTAACAGTCATCAACCGAAGACGATTGTGGATACTCTAACAATCGAAACGTCATGAAGTAACCTGGCTTGGAATCTTTTAACTTTTTATTTATATTTTTTGTTCAATTGTTTTATTTTTACTTGTATTCTATTTCACTATCATTTCATTTCAGGTTTTTTTTTGCTCAATATAATTGTTGTTTCTAGCTATTCATTTTCAATTCTTCTTTTTCAGTTCTTTCAGGGATTTCAAATTATTTTATACAGGGTGTAACTGAATAAGTGTAAAACATTCAAGGAGGTGATTCCTCATCAAAAAAAAGATAGGATCTTTCATATGAAGAAACTTCATTGGAGCATCCCTTATTAAGATACAGCCCCCTGAAGGGGATACATAAAGTTTGTAGGTATAACAATTTTTTTCACAAGCACCGGAAAAGTTACAATATCGATATCAACCTGACGTTTTGTACTACCAAAAAGACACTTAACCGGTAATTCAGTTGGTTTACCCCATGGTTGTAAGGGGTGAAAAACCCAACCCCTAAAATTTATTTCCAATGTAACTTTTTGTCTTATCATTTGTTTACCATTTAAAAATTTATTTCCGATAGCCTGTTCCATTCTAAACAAAAAATGTCTCTTGGGTTCTTTGCCCAAAATAAACCAGTTCGCAGCAAAAAATTATTTTACGAACAACTACAGAGATATATCGTCATAAATGCGAACTGGATTTATTGTTATTTTTTTTTCATTTGTTGATGAAATATTCCCATCTTATGTCGAACATTTCGCTAATACGATGTTTACCAGAACAGTTTTCGAAAAATCTAGAAACTCCCCTTATTCTGTGAATGTGAAGGGATTTATTATAATGTTTCTGTGAGGTTTAATTGCACAGCTACTCCAATGACTCATTCATCCCGAACAAGTCCTAAATTCTACCCTCGTTTCGTACATGGCGAGAATGATATCAGTTTTTTCTTACCCCCGATTACTGTTTTCGAAGCGATAATGGAAGACACTTGTTACTTTCTGATTTATAACAGTTTATCTCTTTGGCCGCATATTCAACATTCAACGCCAAGTTAAATCCTACGGATGTATGAAGGTTTTATTGGATTTTTAGAAAAATGTTGTCCAATAAAAGAAAACTACGTCTTGGTTCGACTTTGGAATGGATAGCGAATACATATTGTTTCGCACTGATTTATGTCCTAGATTTGTGGGACAGGAAAAGTATAATATCCGCATGTCAAGCAGATTTACGTTCTTTATAATTTTCGCTTCAGATTTGAATCAACCGGACATATACAGTGTAGGCCTCGATTTAGTTTGCGTGAAAAAAAAATCGTTGATTTGATACACTTTCAATAGTTTTTTCTGACGCATTGAAAATGTCTGAAGAAGCTGATGTTTCTGTTTGTGAACTGCTCTCAGGATCAGAACTCAAATTCAAAAGATCAGACTTATATATGTGAAAAAACAAAAGATCAAAAATATAACCTTGACACGTCAATAAAAGTGTTTGGTGTTGGTCAATAATTTTCGACGAAAGGTTCTAATTCTACTTTCAAATTCGATGAGACATGAGACAAACTATTACTATTACTATTACTATTAGTATCTGGTTCAATTAGGTATTTTCTATACGTGCGGTTTCCGCTTTGATGTGCAATGTTGGTGTTTTCTATTTTTTAATTCACAATAGAGGAATATTGTAAAACATGGTTGATTATCACTGCATCAAATTGGGAAGATCAAAATTATGAACAATTGACAATGACAAAATGCAAATGAATTATTAATAAAACAATCATTTTTTTCAGACTGTGGAAGAAATGTATGCTCTGGCAGACGAAATTATTGGAGTGCTTAAAACTATAGACGAAAGTGCAAAAACATACGAAGACGTTGCCACAGAAGCAGTAGAGAACGTGTAAATGTTCACGTGACTTATCAATAATATTTAAATTAGAAAGTAGGGGTAAATTCGTGAATTATACTGGTTCGAATGGTCAATCGTTATGTGAATTAAAACATCTTCAGTTTAATTGATTTTTTTCTAACCTATCGTAGTACAATCTACATTCCGAATTCCATCTCTACTCATGAAACTTATCTATTTTCAAGTTGAAATTATCTGAATATAATGAAAATGATAATATACACTTATAGCCTACATTTCAGTATGTCGTCCTCCACTTTCAATACAAATTATGGTCCTTCTACTGACATCTGTAACTGCATTTTTAATAAATCGAGGATTTATGTTTGCACAGCACTCACGAATGGTATTTTCCAGATGTTTTATGTCAGTAAATGGTCTACTTCGGTACACTTTTTGTTTCATGTAACCCTACAAGAAAAAGTCTGAAGGCGTCAAGTCGGGTGATCTAGGTGGCCAATAAAATTCCCAGTTACGTCCAATAATTTTGCCTCTGAACATTTGTTGGAGGGACTGTTTTACAGCAACCGTGTGATGTATTGGTGCGCCATCAAGCTGATAACATAGGTCGTATTTAATATTTGAAGGCATATTATCTAACACTTCACTAACCTCATTATTTAAAAGGATGAGATAACCGACGGACGATAAATTTGCCCTAAAGAAAAATGTCCCAATTATTTGGTCGTTAAGTATCCCACACCATATATTATTTTTAAAGGAATACTGATCACCACATTTACCACATTTCTTGGGCCCACCATCGGCAATTTTGAGAACTTACCGTTCTATTTGAAGAGAACGTTGCCTCATCTGTCCATAAAATTTCATACGGACATCAAAATCTCGTTATTTTAATATTTTAATAAATTTTGGCTTGTAATCACTTTCCCTCTTGTAATCGGTATTTTTTATAATATCGGTTATGCTCGTTTGCCCGTGTTCAATAACTTTTAAACAAATGTTAAGTTGGGCATCCTCATCATATTTACTTGGAGTGTGCTTTTTCTTAAATTGATTTGCTACGGATTCTGTTTCTCTGAATTTCGACATTATCCTTAACACTGTAGCATGTTGAACATTTTTTCTTGGATGCCGTTCATTAAAAATGTTAGCTACTTGCCGGTATGGTGTATTTTCACCACATTTTAAAACTATTTCTATTCTTTCCTGAAGAGACAACATTATTGCAACAATAACTGTTGAAAATTTGACAAGTAAATCAACAACTTGACACTACCATAGCATGAATTTTGTTTGTCAAGACCTACTTAAAAATTTTATTCAACGTGATTAAGCATCCTTACCGCCCTAGTTAGTGTTTATAAATAATCTGTAAATACTGAATATTGAAATTTTAATGTAATTTCAACTCTAGTAATTTTATTTGATACTTATTGCAGTTTTTGAGTCGTGTCTGTTTTTTCAAAATTGAAGGTACTGACGTTTGTTTGAGAAAGTAGCCAAGTGATTAAAACTTTGAACCAGTCATGTTAACATTTTTATAGCATATTTTTAATTTGTTTCTGAAAATGTCCGTATGAGTAAAATTTAATCAGAAAAGTTAAACTCCATGATGAGTTTGTTATGTATTCATGAATTGATGACAATTAACCGAACTTGTTTTTTAAAATAAAGGGGATATCTGTCAAAAATTAACAAAACGTTAACTTTATCTTAGTTGCATGAAATTTGGCATATGTATATAAAATTGCCGTAGACACTACTTTTTCAAGTAATTTTTTGTTAAATTCGATCTAGAAATGCACTTTTTCAATTTTTTTCAAAAAAAAGTTGAATTTGACAAACACAGAACGTCAGTGGGTCGCAGTTGGCCACATCATTTTAAGTTAAATATAAAGCACCTACAAGTGCCGAAGTTAAACTTGATTGAAACTTTTCGAAAAAAAAGTTTCCCATATGGTGCGCACTTTAATGGTGACACTGTATATGGCGAGGCATTCATCACATTCTAGTCGAAATATACCAGATTTCTTTCCTTTGTCCAATTTAGGTTTGGCATGAAATAATCTGTTTCCTTAATCTCCGTTGGATGTGTAAAATGTTTGTTGATTGAATTTTGATAGATAATTTTTAATATTATCAGAGATTCTACCTGATACTAACATTTGTGTTCTGGTCTTGTGGAAATTGAATATAATTCTTTCATTACTGATTTCTGTTGATATTTCATTATAATGTTGTTAACTAGAGTAATTGTTATTAACTGCTATTTGTTTAATGATTGCGATTTCAGTTCGGAGGTTTTGATTAGAAAGGGGTATTGTGAAAGCTCTATGTAGCATTGACCTGAATGCAGACAATCTCTGTGAAATCGAGTTGAAAGAGTCAGAAACTAGTCAAAAAATATAAAACTATCGTGGAAAATAGACAAAAGTCTGTTTTTATAGTTTATCCACAGTAAAAATGGATATTTTCAAAAAATATTAGTTTTTAGGAGAATTCTTTGGATTTCTAATTCCTCATCATCATATAGAACATCGGAAACTTCAGAAGAACTGAGAAAATGATTTATTATATCATATCAGTAAATACAAATGATCTGCAACAACTACTTTCAGATGAATGAACAATAAATCACACGGAAATCACTTGTTTTTATACAGTTTGTACTTCCAACGGTTCGTAAAGAAATGGAACCATATATCATTTACTGGAAATATATACAAGGTAATGTATTCTAAAAGTATTTCCATCATATTTGTCATTTAACAAATGTGTCAAATATGTTATCTGATACATTTGTCATTATGTACTTTGAATTCCAACCAACCCAATTTCTCTATATGAATTCACATAGAGATGAAATTCAAAATATTGCGGAAAACACTGAAATTAGCGTGTCAATTGGATCAGTTTTCACCGACAAATTATGTCGTAATATCAGTCGTATATGAATATTGTTATATTTGCAATAAACACTACCAGACTGTGAATAATAGCCACAGATGATACGTATCCAGAATGAATGAATACTGGAAATTCGATGCATACTCAAAGTGAATACATGGATGACTGGAACAGGCAATCCTGTTTATTCATTCGGGCATTAGATACAATTAGTTAGGTGTGATGAAATCGCAATTTGGACATTCGTCTTGACATGACAAGTTATCTAATTATTCTGGATGAGATACATCATTTAGGGCTCATTACAAAATGACGATATTTTTCTCTTCATAAAGAAGAATGAGGAAGGCCCAAATGAAGTAAGGTTTTGTACTGAAAATATTGAAAAAGGCAATTTTTTCAAGGTTTCACAGTGGAAGCGAATAAAATCATATTTCATATATGGTACTACATAATATGGCGTATTTATCCGAAAGACAGTTTATGCATTTTCGTTTTGAACTATGGTACAGTAGATATGTGCGAGCAAAATAGTTGTATCTCTTTACCATCAGGCGGAACGACATAGTGGAAATTTTGGAAGCATCTTCTGATATAACAGGCGTGTTTTTCAGAATGCAATTCCTTATCCATCAAAATTGTAACCTCATTCAGATTGGTAGGAGGTTTGTACAACTACATTTTTAGGCCGAGTTACAGAATTCTAACAATTTTTATGCTCAGGGATTATCAGTGGAAAGTGTTAACGAACAATGTGATACATTTCAGAATGACATGTTGCACGAAATTAGTGTGGAGCTTTAGGCCTTTCTGACTGAACAGTAGGTAGGAAATCGATAATTCCCTTCATATTTCACTTAATTAAAGAAAAAAACCATTGAGTCAGCTGGTAAACGGAAAGACAGATTTCAACAGATTTTTTCAACAGCACACTGTTAACAAAAATGGAATCAAAGGTATTCAGGTATTTTTCAAAGTTTTGATATTTCTTATTAGACGCATTCAATCAAATTAACTATTATGTTGTCTTAGTTTATATAAAACATAAATTAGTGTTAAATACTTTCGATACGTTTGAAACAAATGCTTCTGATTGTAAATATAACATTTGGCCTGTTCACGACACTATTTGCCATAAATTCTCGACAGTCGAAATATGGGTATCTGAATCACTGTACACCAGATTCCATAAGAACTGTCCAATGAGGATTGAAAGAGATAACCATAACTCCTCTTGGTGGAACAAAAGCTCTGAGGAACAAAGAAAAGAAGTTCGACGATTATCGAGCTAAAGAGTCGGGTAACTGGGAGCTTTATGAAACTACTCTAACGACATTCAACAAGGAAATTAGAAAAAAAACGGGTGAGTTCAACAAGGAAATCAGAAAAGAAAAACGGGAGTCTTGGAAGAAGTTCTATGAGAGTACCTCTGATTTACTCGCAGAACAAGAATTCACAAGATTCTCTCTTGAGAGCCGACTGCTGAAATTGGGTCGCTTAAACGACCTGATGCAAAATTCACGACCTCTAGTGAAGGAACTATAGAGTTTTTAATAGAAAACCACTTTCCTGAAAATCTGACTCTTGATAACAACATACCTCTCATCTTCTAGGGCGCTGAAGGCTCAAAAAAGATTGATTGGGAGGTCGTCAAGGAGGTTATCACAGCACTGGCAAATCTCCTGGAGACGATGGTATATTTCCAGCTTTTCAAAACGAACTGGAAATAATTTCACCTATTTTCATAACATTGTATAGAGCTAGTCTGCCGAGCAACTATATACCACCCAGTTGGTGCGCAGCAAGTGTGGGTCAAAAAAACCCACACCCTAAATCGGTACGACCAATCGGCCTTACAGCCTTCCTGTTGGGAGGACTTGAGAGGATACTGGATGGACACATCAGGGGGGTTTCATTATATGCTTTCCCCCTGATTAACCACCCGTATGCTTATCAATCCGGAAGAACATCCTTGTAGAGAAAATTTTACAATCCCTTGACAACAAGGAGATTACGGTTGCTGCATTTCTCGATATTGAAGGAGAATTTGACAATGCACTACCTAAATCTATAGGATAATCTCCGAATAGGAGACGTTCAGGGTCACCAGAGGCTGCCCTCAAGGTTGAGTACTATCTTTCCTTTTGTGGTTGCTCCTGATGGCTAGTCTGCTTGATGCACTCGACAGAAGAAAAGTAGATCTGCAAGCCTATGTAGATGACCTTGTCATCTTGG